CGCCTTCGAGCCCTCGACCATCAAAGGTAGTGCATTTTCTATCCTACCTCCATTTGAGTGCGCTTTTGAGTCCTCGCCTTATTTCTTTTTGAGTACGCCTTCTAGCCCTCGACCATCAAAGGTAATGCATTTCCTATCTTACCTCCTTTTAAGTGCGCCTTTAAGCCCTCGCCTTATTTCCTTTCGAGTGCACCTTCGAGCCCTCGACCATCAAAGGTAGTGCATTTCCTATCTTACCTTCACTTGAGTGCGCCTTCAAGCCCTCACCTCATTTCTTTTCAAATGCACCTTCGAGCCCTCGACCATCAAAGGTAGTGCATTTCCTATCCTACCTCCACTTGAGTGCCCTTCGAGCCCTCTCCTTATTTCTTTTCGAGTGTGCCTTCAAGTCCTCAACCATCAAAGGTAATGCATTTTCTATCCTACCTCATTTTGAGTGCGCTTTTAAGCCCTCACCTAATTTTTTTTCGAGTGCGCCTTCGAGCCCTCGACTATCAAAGGTAGTGCATTTTCTATCTTACCTCCCTTTGAATGCGCCTTCGAGCTCTCACCTCATTTCTTTTCAAGTGCACCTTTGAGCCCTCGACCATCAAAGGTAAAGCATTTTCTATCCTACCTCCTTTTGAGTACGCCTTCGAGCCCTTACCTTATTTCTTTTCGTGTGCGCTTCGAGCCCTCGACCATTCAAGGTAGTGTATTTCCTAACTCTATCTCCTTTTGAGTGCGCCATCAAGCCCTCATTTCCTTTCGAGCACATCTCTAAGCCCTCATTTCCTTCGAGCTTTCATCTCTTGAATAGTGCGCCTTCGAGCCCTATCATGACCATCCTGAAAAATCCTCGTATTTTTCCACTGGGCAGGTGACCCATTACAATGTGACCACTTTTGAAAAATCATCGTATTTTTCCACTAGGCAGGTAACCCATTACAATGTGACCAATCTGAAAAATCCTCGTATTTTTCCACTGGGCAGGTAACCCATTACAATGTGACCATCCTAAAAAATCCTCGTATTTTTTCACTAGGCAGCTGACCCATTATAATGTGACCACTTTTGAAAAATCATCATGTTTTTTCACTGGGTAAGTAACCCATTACAATGTGACCATCCTGAAAAATCCTCATATTTTTCCAATGGGCAGGTAACTCATTACAATGTGACCATCCTGAAAAATCTTCGTATTTTTCCACTAGGCAAGTAATAAATTACAATGTGACCAATATGAAAAATCCTTATATTTTTCAAACATCGGGCAGGTCGCCTGGAACAATTAGACCACTTACGAAACCTTTGTCATGTTTTATTTTTTATCGGGCAGGTCACCTGGAACAATTAAACCATTCGCGAAACCCTTTCGCGTTTTATTCTTCATCAGGCAGGTCACTTAGAATAATTAGACCATTTGTGAAATTCTTCGCGTTTCTTTTATCATCGGGTAGGTTGTCCAAAATAATTTGATCCATTTCAAAAAAAAACAAAAAAAAAATGGGTCGTCTTCTAAATGACTTGTTCTCTCTGTAAAAGTCATATATCAATCTAGTATTTTTGAAGTTTTCAAGACTCTAAAAAAAAAAGCTTTTTGTATCTACTTTTCTTTATAAATTTACTACACAAAGATAAAGAAAATGAAAAATTTCCATATCTTTGCATTGTAAATATTATAAAGAGATGGCAACTGTCATAACTTAATTTTTAAATAAATATTAAAAAAATAAATTTAGTTAAGAATTGGGTTAAGATAGCATAAATTTAAAGTTCACAGTTGAAATTTTTAAAATTTAAGAGTTAATTGGTTAGAAATTGAAGAATTAATAAGTTTGAGAATTTAATTAAAATTAGGATTATTTTAATTAATGAAATCAAGAGCTTAATTGAAGAATTAATGAGTTTGAGGACTTAATTAAACTTTGATTCAATTAATTAAAGGAATCGGGGATTTAATTGAAGAAATACCAAAGTTTGGAGCTGATTCAAGGAAAATTGCTAGAAAATTAAAGTCCAAAGACCAAATTAAATAGTCCAGAAACCCAGGACTGTTGTGTAAATGGTGTTATACCTCAAGGATTCAAATTGAATTTAATCCAAGGGCACAATTAGAAATTAATTATTACTGATTAAGATCCTAATTGGGGCCAAAGTGAAAAATAGTCATTCCCAAGGACACAAACGGCACTGTTTGGAAGCACTGTTCATCATCCATTTTGATTCGCACGGAGAAAGCCAATTCAATAGGAAATCTACAGCAAATCGTGGACCACATCTCCTGCCCACTGATTAGTACTTAAAAATGTATTTTATAAAATTGAAAGAGCCTTACTTGATCTTGGTGCTAGTGTGAATTTACTTCCATATTCAGTTTTTCAGAGTCTCAATCTAGGTGAGTTAAAACCAACTTCTATATCTCTTTTACTTGCCGATAGATCTGTAAAAGTGCCTAGAGGAATAATTGAAGATGTGTTAGTACAAGTCGATAAATTCATTTATCCTGTGGATTTTATTGTCTTGGACACAGAACCTGTTGAAGCATGTAATTCATTTCCTGTTATTTTAGGACGTCCATTTCTTGCAACTTCTAATGCATTGATTAATTGTAGGAATGGACTGATGAAGCTATCATTTGGAAACATGACATTGGAGATGAATATTTTCAACATTTGCAAGCAACCTGGAGATGATAATGATTTACAAGAAGTAGATCATATTGATGAATTAGTTTATGATCAACTTGAATCTACTTTAAGTAAAAATGAATTGGATGAAACTGAAGATTTGCAAATGGTTTATTCTGAGGAAGAAATCACGGATGAAACAAGCACCGAAAATGTTGATGCAAATCTTTTGTCAACAGTGACAACAGATTCGACATCTGACATCACACCAATCGATGATTACTTTCCTAACGAATCCTTACTTTCTCTTAGTCCAATGCCTTGGTATGATAAAAATATCAATTTTCTTATTTTAGGAGATTTGCCAGCTGATTGGAGTACCCAAGACAAAGAAAAGTTTTTGAACGAAGTGAAGAGCTTTTATTGTGATGACCCTAACTTATTCAAATATTGTCCTGATCAAATATTTTAAAGATGTATTCCTAACAAGGAGATAAGTAGTGCCATTCAACTTTGTCATTTTGAAACATGTGGGAGTTATTTCTCGTCAAAAAAGACAGCTACAAAAATCTTTCAAAATGGATTTTATTGGCCCACCATGTTCAAGGACACGCATGCATTCTACAAAACTTGTGAAAATTGTCAAAAAATTGATACTGGTCAAAAAGTTTTGTTTTATAATTCTCAACTCCATTTATTCCCTAGAGAGCTAAAATCAAGATGGGGTAGTCCATTTTTTGAGAAACATGTGTATCCTTATGGGGCCATCATAGATGAAAAAATTATCGAAAATGTTGATGCGAATCTTTTATCAAGAGTGGCAACAAATTTGATATCTGACATCACATCAATCGATGATTATTTTCCTGACGAATCCTTACTTTCTCTTAGTCCAATGCCTTGGTATGATAAAAATATCAATTTTCTTGCTTTAGGAGATTTACCAACTGATTGGAGTATTCAAGACAAAGAAAAGTTTTTGAACGAAGTGAAGAATTTTTATTGTGATGACCCCCTAACTTATTTAAATATTGTCCTGATCAAATATTTCAAAGATTCATTCCCGACAATGAGGTAAGTAGTGTCATTAAACTTTGTCATTCTGAAGCATGTGGAAGTTATTTCTCGTCAAAAAAGACAATTGCAAAAATCTTGCAAAATGGATTTTATTGGCCCACCATGTTCAAGGACACACATGCATTCTGCAAAACTTGTGAAAATTGTCAAAAAATTGACACTGGTCAAAAAGTTTTGTTTTATGATTCTCAACTCTATGCATTCCCTAAAGAGCTAAGATTAAGATGGACCAATCCTTATGGGGCCTGTGATATTGAGAATTCAATGAATGACAATGATTTTAAGGAAAATGGACATCGTTTGAAAGCTTACTTTGATAATTTTCCTAGTGAAAATGAATCAGCTGGTTTGAATGATCTTGTAGATAAAGGTTGATTATTTTGTTTTTCTTTTACCGTGCTAGATGTGCAAGTTTGAGATTGTTAATGAATCATGGAATTCCTGAAGATATTCGCTGGTTGATTGAAGCAAAGGTCCGATTATCAGGTGAGTCTTCCAATTCTTTCATTTCACACATGCCTGGAACAAGTAAAAGCACTTTTGCAAAGAAACATCGTGTAAAATGACTGAAAGTCTGCCATCGATGTGCAAGATGGACTTGCAATGCACAATGTCGTTCTTTAGAAGTGGTATCTGTAAACCGTGAAGATAAAACACTATTCATTAAGGATGGCCCGAGTAAGGGGTCTTTAGATAATCTTCTATTGACTCTTGAGACGCATCCTAGTAGAGATGTGCATCGTGCAATTCATGATTTATGGCCAATATTCCATAAGGAACATGCTTGACATAGTCTTGGGAAACTGACTAAAAAAGACCCTGTTTGCTGGTTTTTAAAAATAGGAGTCAGAATGCTGAACCCCCAGAATTTGGTGACTGCCTATGGACTAGCAAGGATGCAGGAGGAAAATCTATCAATCATGAGGAAATCCTGGAGGCCTAGTGCTATGGGACTTCAAGGCCGCAGCCCAACACCAATTCAGTCCAGGGCTGAAAATAAACCAGTTCAGATACACAGACTCACTCCAGCACAGATGAAGGAAAAAAGAGACAAGGGGCTTTGCTTTAAATGTGACAGTAAATGGGGACCTGGCTATAAGTGTGGAGGACCAAGGATATTCTTGATAGAGGAAGTAGATGAGGAGGTGGAGGAGAAAACTTGTGCCCCTGAAGATCTGATTGATTTAGGAGAACCTCTAGAAGAAGGCAATGAGGATATTGGCATATCGCTTCATGCAATCATAGGGAGTCCCAATCCTAAAACTATGAGCGTAGAAGTTAAGCTAAGTGGCCATAACTTCGTGGCCTTAATTGACACAGGAAGTACACATAATTTCATACACCCCAGGGTAGCCAGGAGGGTAGGGATGAAAGTCCTAAAACACAAGCCTATCAGGGTGAATATTGCAGATGGTTCTCAGTTGTGGAGCGAGGGAAGCTGCCCAGATATCAAACTGATAATCCAAGGAGATCAGTTTGTCACCCGGGCTTATGTCATTTAGTTGGGAGGATGCGATATGGTGTTAGGAATTCAGTGGCTCAAAAGTCTAGGGCCCATTCTGTGGGACTTCTTAGCCTTAAAAATGGAATTCCAAAAGGAGGGGAAGAAGGTCCTGATCTGTGGAATGGGAGTGGAGAAATCAGAGGTTGACTACAGCCCAACCTTTTTACAAGAGTTGAGAAGAGTCGAGGAAGGCCTAATTCTGCAAATATGGGAGCTAGGATCAGCTCAGAATGAGATTCCAGAACAGATTGAGAATCTGTTGCTAGAATTCATGGAAGTTTTTCAAGAGCCAAAAGGAATTCCACCTAGGAGATCACATGATCACTCTATAATATTGAAAAAGGGTACCTCCCCAATCAGTGTACGTCCTTACAGGTACCCCTACTACCAAAAATCTGAGATAGAAAAGCTTATTAAAGAGTTGTTGGCAATGGGTACCATAAGACCCAGCCAAAGCCCCTTTTCATCGCCAGTCCTACTAGTTAGGAATGCTAATGGGTTATGGAGAATGTGTGTTGACTATCATGCCTTCAACAAGGAAACTGTGAAAGACAAGTTTCCCATACCAGTTGTGGAAGAACTACTAGACGAGCTTCATGGTTCTCAGATTTTTTCCAAGTTAGACCTGCGGTCGGGCTTTCACCAGATCAGAATGAAGGAAAAAGATGTTCCCAAAACAGCCTTTCGAACTCACGAAGGGCACTATGAATTTTTGGTGATGCCTTTCGGCCTCACAAATGCTCCTTCCACTTTTCAAGGTGATGAATGATATTTTTCGACTTTGATGAATGATATTTTTCGACCCTATCTCAGAAAATTTGTTCTGGTTTTCTTCGATGACATTCTAGTCTACAGTCACAATGTGGAAGAACATGAGAGACATCTAAGGATGGTATTTGAGACTCTGGTGCGACACAAGTTATTTGCCAAAGAGTCTAAATGTAAATTTGCAAGCAAAGAAATTGAATATTTAGGGCATATCGTATCAGATCAGGGAGTACATGCTGACCCCAGCAAAGTGGAGTCAATGATCAAGTGGCCTAGACCAAACACGCTCAAATCACTAGGGGGTTTTTTAGGGTTAACAGGTTACTACCGTAGATTCATCAAGGGTTATGGGGCGATTGTTAGTCCCTTAACGAGACTATTGAAAAAAAGGGCTTTCAAATGGGATTCGGAAGCAGAACAAGCCTTTGAACAATTAAAACAGGTTGTATCAACCCCCCAGTCCTAACACTACCAGATTTCAACCAAAGTTTTGTAGTAGAGTGTGATGCCTCAGGTATAGGACTCGGTGTTGTGCTAATGCAAGGAGGTAGACTCATCTCTTATTTCAGCAAGAGTCTAAAGGGGAGGGAGCTATCACTATCCACCTATGAGAAGGAGTTCTTGGCATTAGTCACTACTGTTCAGAAGTAGAGGCCTTACCTTTTAGGCTAAGCCTTTAAGGTTAAGACGGACCAACAGAGCCTCAAGTATTTATTGGAGCAGCAGGTTGGAACCCCCACACAGCAGAAATGGTTATCCAAATTGATTGGATATGACTTTGTGGTCGAGTTTCGAGCAGGGAAGGAGAACCTAGTAGCTGATGCACTCTCTAGACAGGAGGACACCATAGAAAAAGGTACACTATGGGCTATCTCTACTCCAATTATTTATTGGGCTGATCAATTAAAAGATAGCTATAAAACTGATCTGGAAATTCAAGCTATCATGCAACAACTAGACCAGGAAACCATAGGCACCTTAAAATACCATTTTAGGGGTGGGATACTATACTATAAACAGAGAGTCTACATCAGTCAATCCAGCCCTATAAAAAACAGCCATATTAAATTATATACATGAAAGCCCATCCTCGGGACACACGGGTTTTGAGAGAACACTAAAAAGGGCAAGGAGAGATTTCTTTTGGGTAGGAATGAAATCAGATATACAAACCTACATTAAACAGTGTGAGGTCTGCCAGAGAGCAAAAGGATTAAACACAAAACCCTCAGGACTCTTACAGCCTTTACCTATACCCACCAAACCATGGTCATCTATATCTATGGATTTTATAAAGGGGCTACCAAAATCTAATCAATACTCGGTAATTATGGTAGTTGTGGATAGGTTTACCAAATATGCCCATTTTATCCCTGTGTCCCACCTCTACAACGCGACAAAAATCGCCAATTTGTTCTCACAGAATGTAATGAAACTACATGGACTACCAGACAACATAATATCAGACAGGGATCCTACCTTTACTAGCAATTTTTGGGGAGAGTTATTCCAAATTCAGGGGGTTAAGCTGCTAATGTCAACAGCCTACCACCCCCAAACCGATGGTCAAACAGAGGCAACTAACAAAACATTGGAAGGGTATTTGAGATGCTATGTAGGAGATAATCCGAAGGGCTGGTCTAATTGGCTAACCATGACCGAATATTGTTACAATACCAGCTACCACACATCCCTCAAATCCACCCCATTTGAAGCAATTTATGGTTGCCCACCCCCGAGCCTCACAGATTACATCCCCAGGTCAACAAAAAATCACGCAGCAGAGGAACAATTACAACATAGAACAGAACAAATTGCAGAAATTAAACACAACTTAGCTCGAGCTCAGGAGAGACAAAAGAAACAAGTAGATAAAGGTCGAAAAGAGATCCAGTTCAAAGAAGGGGAGTGGGTTTACCTCCGGCTCTAGCCATTCAGACAGTCCAGCATCAAAAAAATAAAAATGGAAAGTTAGCGTATAAATACTTCGGGCCATTCAAAATCTTAAAAAGGGTGGGGGAAGTGGCTTACCAGCTAGATCTTTCAAAAGAAGCCCGAATCCACAATACGTTCCATGTCTCACTGCTGAAGAAATGGTTGGGGAAAGGGACCATTCCTGAACCGAAGCTACCCAATCTTGAACCCAAGAGGAATTCTCAACCTGAACCAGCAGAGATACTTGACTGAAGGAGCCAAGTCTCAAGGAGGAAGACAAACGAAGAAGTACTGTTAAGATGGGAAGCACAGCCTAAAGAAGATGCAGTTTGGGTCGATGAAGAGTGGTTAAAAGGTTCATACCCTCACCTTGAGGGCAAGGTTTTTTAAGGGGGAGAGAGTTGTAACAGTCCGGCAGCACCTAAAGGAGCAAGATCAAGGGAGGCCGGGGAAAGAAATGAAGGAGGCGTTTTGAAGAATACTTACCTGCAACAAAGAGATAAAGTGAGCACGTGTATGGTCAAGATTGGACAAGAAGCACTTACGTGGAAGGCTAAGATGAAGAAGTTCCTGCGACTGACAGCTAGCAGGGGAGTAAGTTCAAAGACAAACGACACCGTTTGGGAGAAGGAAAAAGAATCCAAATACAACACTGATAAATAAAACAGCTGTCAAATATATCTATTATCATTAATTCATAAGGAACCGAGAGTTAGAATAAAAAGGGGGGGGGGAGGTAGCAGATAGGCAGGAAATTGCTTTGAAGCAAATCTCATTCATCCAGGAGGCCCGGGCTACCTCGAAGCTGCCCAGAATTCTAGATTAGGGTTTATCAATCTTGCATTGTTCTTTCCATTCAGTTTTTCTTTAAAATATTTTTCCTTAAACTTGTTATTTCAATTTCCTTACTCTACCTGTAAGCTCAGGTTAAAGAAAAGCTATAATAAAAATTCTAGTAATTAGTAATTTTTTATTGAAATTACTAAACTCATTACACTGTCCATTGCATTCTGAAAATGTATTATTTCCATCCCTTAGTTGGTATTCATTTTTTCCTTAGATGATGGCCGTAATTGCAGATTTCATGCTTGTTTTTCTTCCTGCTCCCACGGTTTCTCTCCGTTCACCACTAGCAGGAAACGCTGGACCTATTGCAAAGTTCTTCCACAACTGCCCTGATAATGCATTCCAGGTTTCTGATTTATTGATAAACTTATGCATTAACTAGTAAGTTTAACAAAGATGACTACAGAAAGTCTTAGATAGTCACCTTCTCGTCAAATCCTCATTACAGGTGGCTCTCGCTGGAACTTCCTATTCACTCTTACAGAGATTAGGTGCTATAGCGGTAAGTTTTTTACTTTCTATTTTTTGCACATTGTTAATTAAATATCTTAACTCCCATGCCAAGAGTAGCCTGGTCCTTACATGGATTTGTTATTGCAGCGTAATGGAGCGAAGCTTTTTGTTGTTGGCACCGCCTCCTCACTGGTAAGTTCATACTGGACAGGAGGTTATATAGCACATTTTTTAATGATTTTGTACTAAGAAATGAATTTAAAGTTGGTAGGTTGTTAATGTTGAGGTTTGTCTCCCCCATCTTACATAGCCTATACTACCTCATGCCATTCTATATCACCTATGTAGTTTTCTACAGGAGAATCTCATTTTGGAGGAGTGAGAAACTCTCTCTCCACACACACACACACACACACACACTTTGTGTTCCTATCATCACATTTTTTTAAGCATGGATAATCCATTTGCTTCTCTGGCGTTTTGGCTTTTACTCTGAGAATGTTCTTGGAATTGTTAATCTTTAGTGGTCTGAAAACTTTGCATTATAAGCAGTTTGTCTCTCTGACATTTTTTTATAGATTCCTTCCTGTGTGCACGTTTGGTTTTCAATATTAAACAGGGGTAACCTTTTGTGCACATGTTCTTGCGTTATAACAAGTTCAATCTAGTTAGACAAATAAAAAAGAATAATTCTTGGTCTTTTGCCTCCTTTTTAGTTGCAAAGTACCGGTCCTCTCATTTGTATGCTAATGGGTGAAAGGTTCTTGGTTCTGAGGATGCATACCTCTAATGCAATCGTTTTGTTTTAGGTTGGTACCGCTGTGACAAATACCTTGATCAATGCACGGAAAACTGTGGACAAGTCTTCTGCTGGTGAGGTTGAAAATGTACCTATTTTATCTACCAGTGTTGCCTATGGTGTCTACATGGCAGTTTCTAGCAACCTCAGGTACAATGATCCTCCAGACATGGTTTTTGCTCAATTTTCTAAGTATCTAGTGTCTTCTTTATGACCTATCTAAGATGCTGTAATTTATTACACCGTTTAATTCATGCACTATTCATATAAAAGATATGGGCTAGATTTCACGGGGCAAGATTTTTATTTGATCATTGGAACAAAATTAGGTTTTTGTTGAATACAGCATAATTATGCAAAATTTGATCACTAGCATAATTTTACATGTTATAACTTGTCTTATATAGCCTTTGGTGCCAGAACCACTATTCAGAACAGATTAATTAGCAAATTAACAATGAAGCATTGCTAATATATTCCATGATAAGAATTGTAGAAAATTTTGAACTGGTGTCGTTTTGTCCATTTAAAAAGCTTAAATGATTTCAAAAAATGGATCTGTTATTACAATTTTGAAGTGTTGTTTGAAATTTTAATCTGAATGAGTTGCTATTGATATTTAGGTTTCTATGGGTTAGAATGGTTTACTGACAGACTACCTCTGTTGAACAGGTATCAAATACTGGCTGGTGTTGTTGAACAGCGCATCTTGGAACCTATGCTACACCAGCACAAGCTCATGCTAGGTGCACTTTGTTTTGCTGTTCGAACAGGCAACACGTTCCTGGGTTCATTATTGTAAGATTGCACCCTTTATTTCCTGGGAATCTTAAACTAGATAATCTTTGTACCTGTGGCATCTCATGTCCATCCCTTTGCTTCAACAGGTGGGTGGACTATGCTCGCTTGATAGGAATCCAAAAGGCGCATGAGGAGCACAGGGAATGGACTGATTAGTTCTAGAAATGTTGGCTTGTCTGTGTTTAAATCGCTTGAAGTAGGCATGTCAATTCGAGTTTTTTTGGTTGCTGAACTACCGAAGTTTCATGAAAATTTGTAGGTAGTCTCAGTTTCTCTATGATTCTTAAATGTAATTTTTTCCGTTCTCATTGTTGGTGTCCAGATTCGGACACAATTGCTGGTAAATTTGAACTATCGAAAGGGGATAAAGGATTGCAGGAATAAACATTTTGATGTGAATTTTTTTTTGTTGGAATATCAGAAATAGAAAAAGATTACCATTCTTGACACCAAGTTAAACCGAGCAAGCATCAAACCTGGTCAATTCACAACAATCACATGAGAAGAATCATAATAATCGTTTTTTTGCTTAGAAAATTGCAAATTGAGACGTAGAATGAGGTAATTTGGTTACTGTATTCTTGGTTGACGAAATTCCACTGAAACACAGCCTAGAAATTCAAAGACTGTCATCTACTTGAGGGTTGGAGTTGTCTACTTAGCACCAAGCAGCATCACACTTAACCTCGTACCAATAAACAGGAGAAGAAGAGGAAGAAAACAAAGTACAATCAAGTTAACACGTTCCATTTGTGCTTGATAACATGTTCAGGCAATGACTTCATCTTTCATACAAGCCCTTAACTTGATGTGTGTAATATTCATGTCTGCTGTCTCTTCAACGTTGCAGCATTCCATCAGTCCAGCCTGCAAGATACACCAGAAACATGCGATGATCAGTAAACAGTTAAAATTCTTTAGGAAATTGTTTTATTAAACGTTTAAGCCCAAAATTTATATTTATGTTGTCTGACAATTCTGCCCGTTTATTTGGTCCTATTTATTGGAAAGTAATTAGTTTTTTAAATAAATTTAAAAAATATAAATTAGTTTTTGCTTTTTGATAGTGTAATAAAAATTAAGTTGGAAAATACTTTTTAGTATTTAGTTATGTCATAGAAAATGAGCTGAAAAATAACTTATTAATATTTTATTTTTTAAAAGTTTATTAAAATAATACAAAACAAATCTTATAAATTAAAAAGTTAAATGAGAATGAAATTGAAAAAAATATAATTTTATAAATTATCTTAAATAAAATAAATAATAATCAAAATAATAGAGATCAAATATAAAAAATTAAAAAATTAAAAGATGAAGAAATTAAAATAATAATAATTAAAATTTCATAAATTATTTCAAATAAAATAAATAATAATCAAAAGAACGAGGATCAAATTTGATAAATAAAAAATTTTAATTAAAAAATGATAAGGAAAAAGAAAATGAGAATTATAAAAATAAGAATCAAAATTAATATAAAAATTAAATTTTAAGGGATGAAATTGAAAAATAAATATTTATATATAGTAATCAAAAGTTTAAGGATCAAATTTGATATAATCAGCAAATAATATGATATTTTTAAATTATTTACAACTTCCAGAAAGTGTTTTATATTCAAAATAAAAGGAAAAAAACTTTTTTAGAAACTAAACCAAATTTTTCTTTGACTATAAAATAATATTTTTTATCAACTAATTTTTTAATAAATAAAAAACTTTTTTAAAAACTAAACCAAATTTTTCTTTGACTGTAAAATATTTTTTATCAACTAATTTTTTAATAAGAACAAATAAAAAAATATTAAAAAATAATTTTATAAAAACTATTTTCCGGTAAACGCACCAAGAGGAAGATTTTAATTAACGAACTGTAGCAAAATTGTTTTTGGTTGTCAAATGTATCTAGCTAATATCAAGAGCTAAGCCTGACGACAATGTTGGACTTTTGACGTGACGGAAAAGATGGAAAACTCACCTTTTTTAATGTTGTTGCTGATGAAAAGACTTGAATTTTGGAAATATGATTTGCAGAATGATTGCCACTTGATGAACATGGTGGCAAATTGCGTGGTGATTTTCGGGTGTAGGTCGTAACAACTTGGTTCCCTCTGGTTTTCTCGACAGATTCCATGAAGAATTCATGAGGAGCATCGCATGGATCATTGGTGAGACTTCGAGTGTTGAACATATAGAATGGTGGCTTAAAAATCCTCAGCCACGGTCTGAACGTCTCGATAGGTCGCAGTAGAAAGCTTCGGGGATGTATATTTTCGTATATGTGAGCGGAGTAGCCCCATGAGGTTGAAAAAGACCAGTTGTTTTTCCTTTGGTAGCAGATAGTTTGTTCCAATAGCCGTGAATGATCGACTTTTGCAGCCTCCATTAGATGGTTCACGGACGCAGAGCGATTCATGGAGGGGAAGATTGGATCTACGACATCGATGTGGTGAAGGGATAGGACAGGAGACTGATGATGAGCTGATAGAAGGCCTGATATGTCCCCATGTAGATCAATCTGCAGTAAAGCACCATAAATCAATAGGAATCTGTTAGTTTATGAATTGATTTTGCTTAATTTCTACATGAACATTGATAGAATGATCAAATACCTGGTGAAAGCCTCTGTGATGCGTTAGAGGAACTCCAAAATCAGCCAAACACGTCTGCAAAATAAAGTCACTGGAATATACACTTGGATATCGTTGAATACACCCATCCACCCTCGTGGACAAAGCTTCTGCTAGAGGGTAACTCAAAGCATACCCGGCTCCACCAAATGCCATTTCGAACGAGAAATTAACATTCGAGCTAACACATTCCGAATTCATCCCGATGTAGAAGTACTCAGTATGATTATACTTGGCTAAAACCTCTACTAAATTATCAATAAATAAGACTGTGTCATCATCTGCCATTACATACCATCTAACATCTTTATCTCCCTGCATAAAAGCCTCCATGATTGTACGTACTATTCTAAGCTGTGTTACATATCTGCTGTTTAATCTAAATTTGACAGGTGCATTGACGCGAAAAGGCGGAGAAGATGAGGGCCAAGGATGGAATCTCTGCGAGGGATCTCTATCAAGGAAAATATATCCTCGAGTAACATTTGGTCTCCACCATGATTCCACGTATGATTTCCTGTGCTTCCATGTGTCCACAGAACTCACCATGGCAAATACAATGTGGCTGATACTTGTAGGGGTAGTAGTAACATTCGCAGAAGTAGTTGCATTATTAGGTGAGAGTGGTGGCCATTTGTGCTTAAAGAGAGAGAATCGATTCATAGTCTGGCTACAGTTAGGATGGTTAAACAAGACAGTATAGAGCAGTAAAAGGATCAGTCCCCAAGTGGCTATAGATTTGCATAGAGTTCTAAGAGATATGTGTTGCAAGCTTTGTTGAATTGCAGCACTGACACTGTTGATGGGTTTCTCTGAAGACATTTTTGAAGGGAATCTTGAATTGTCACCTTTGACTGGATCGCTAGAAGAGCTTATATGGCATAATTTCTTGTCTAGCCTTGATAATTCATGTGACGTTGATTGTTTTCCTTTCTTGTTGTCTTTGTGCCAAAGCATTATTATCGTGAGTTGTCTAATGCAACATCCATCCTTCAAGTGAGCTTTGCGCCATGTCCAGCCGTAGGTAGAATGCCGAGGAAATGCTTTCCATAAGCAAAAAAATGCATGTTTCAGCTTTGAGCTTGGAGCCATGTTTAATGTGGATGAAATGCTTTCGGTGCAACCCTTGTAACGGTTATAGCTTCGCCGTTTCTTTCTTCTTCTTTTTTTTCCTTGCCATTTTGATACCCGCACACTGGATTCCATCTTTCATCTATTGTTTAGAGTGGCATGCATGCTCGAGGCAGATCTGAAATATAAGGACTTGATTGAAAAAAAAATCATTCAAAGACTAAATTGAATGTATTGTAAGGCATGAGGATCAAAGAGTTCAATTAAAGATTTATTTGCAAGAAAAATAAAATATAACGACCAAAGTAAAATTCTCAAGAGATTTTAGGAGCCAAATTGTATAGTAAAATAGTTACTGTGAATGATAACAACTCTCTCGCGCGCGCGCGCATATATAGTCAAGGCCTAATTTACTGTGAATGATAACAACTCTCTCTCTCTCTCTCGCGCGCGCGCATATATAGTCAAGGCCTATTTATCGCGCCGAAGCTCTCTAAGTTTAATTTGTAAGAATGAAAACGTTTAAAAATTTTAAATTGAGAGACATACCTTGTCTAGCCATTGCATGCATAAAAAAAATAACCACCTGGAATTTAAATCCTCTCATGTTCTTGAGAATTTGATCGATAGTGTTTGTGGAAGCTTAAACCTTGAATTTAAATAAGGGTTCTTGCTTGATTACAGATCAACAGCTCCCATGACTGTTCCAAGTCAACCGTTTGAGAATGGAACACGATGAACAGCAGCTAGCTGCGGGCAGCGGTAAAGACACAGGTCTTGATGAATATATGCATGTGTATATACATTCAACAATTTATTTGTTTTTGTCTAATCATTTAATGACTACGCAAAGAAGTACAAATTTCTGAGAGAAATTTAAGCTGACTGACGGTAACCATTTCTTTTCCCTTGGTACTACTACAAGTTACCCCCCCTCCACAACACTTTCCGGGTGACACCTGACGGCGAATCGCAGACCCCAGCAGGAACTGCTTTCCTGTACCCCAGAAAAAAACATGAACTAAGTTACATTATAAATCCCGAGGGCCATCGACAGATTGGGTCTTTCTGAGATTCCAGTGGAGGCCATCGTGGATGCTACGCAAAAAGTCGCTTGTGGAATCAATTTGGCATGCTGTTGGGACAGGCCACGGTGCCATGCTGCACACAAGCGCATCACCAGCGGCCAGCTGTTTCCTGTGCTTGCCATCAAATGAGGCCCAAGCAGGGCTTCTGCTGTTGAATGGAACTTGAACTCGTATTGTTACATGCTCAGGTAATATCAGAGGTCGAAACGATAAGGAATGTGGACAAATTGGTGTAAACAGGATTCCAGGGACCTGCAATTACGGGAAATACATCAAATTTGTAATACCAATGGCGCGCATTAAAGTGATAGCAATAATACTAATGTGAACAATCAAAGAGTACATTCACTTCCAAATGAAATCAACCACGCTCTTCATAGAAAAGGATAGCGTCAACTTTTTACATGTCCACAGTGTGGGTGCAACTTCTCAGTGCTTGTTGGTTTACAAATTGATGTATTGAACTCGTAGTTTAATAATGGATTTTCTTTTTGTTTTGCAAATCAGCAAGGCCATGTCATTGAGAATGGGGGAAAAGCAGACCAATCTATTCTAACTCAACCTGTTAGCCATAAAAAAAAGCCTGCCGTGTTGGCCATTCCAGGTGAAAATGCTGAAGCAAGAGCCGCATTCTAAGATCCTTTTCGATTGAATGTAA